TTAGGATTCATTTAAAAAGGATTTTGTCAAAGATTTTTGAAATGATTGGGAGAAGGCCTATTGGTCTGTAGGATGAAGTGTCAGCAGGATTGCCTAGTTTAAGGAAAAGGATGGTTATGGAGTGTTTCCATATCAGAAAAAAGTGGGTTGTACGAAGGATACAATTGTATACGTAGGTAAGGCATATAATCCCAACATCTGTGTTGCAAGGAAATGAGAAAAACAAATAAATAAGGTTCTTAAAAATTCTCACGCATGCTAGAAAAGGTTAGATATGGAGTAACAGAAAACAAAATTAAAATAAAAGATGTTAAAAATGGAATCACGGAATCTTATTAAGTATATCATATGAATATAAAGATTACCAAGATATATTTACTCATATTCAATATTATTTAATTATAACATTTTATTCTTCAGCAAAACAAAATACTATTACTTCATTTAGTATTCTATTTCATTCTAAAGCGCTATAAAGAAAAGAAATTAGAACCTATACCGGACCTGGATTAGGGTGGCCCAGTGAGGCGTGAGTCGGAGATATCCGGGCGATCTATGCCGTGCGCTAACTTGGCCATATATAACAGCCGTCTCCAAAAAGTGCCGCCCTTCAAGATAGAGGCCTCGTGTGACGGGAGGCGGTATATCAGCCATATTCAATTACCTTCCCTGCCATGGCTCCTTAGCAAGTCACAACTCTCGCTATTTAACAGCTATGCCAAATCAGTTGAGTTATTGTGCCGCTATTCATGAAACCACACACAAACATCTGGCCAGGTTTTATAACGCACTGCCTACCAAGCCAGCTGATAAAGGCCAATTATTCAGCACTGTTAGTTTGATCCGAATTGATAAGACTGCATTATGGGATGAGTTAAGCTTTTCCTGCTGTGAAGTAGATAAAGCAAAATTAATTTCTTCGGATTTTATTCCTAGATTTTTAAAAGGATACATTTTTATTTGAGGCTATAAAAGTAAGATTCCTGGATTGGTTCATTTGTTTATTTGGGGTTTAACTTCTATATTTATTCCAGCTAGGCCGGGCTTATTCTAGATATAGTGACAAGGCCAAAATGTATAATGATTCTTCGCCGCTTCCGGCTCAAGGATAGTTTAAGCTGAGAGGGTAACACGATCGGAAATTACGCCCTTATTTCTTTTTTCGTATAAAATTATTGGAGGTAACAATTTGGAAATATTTGCGAAAGCCTTTCTTAACGAATATGTGTTTTACTTATTTATTGAGAAATATTATAATCTGCCATAATTATGGACATTTATAATAGTTTTCAGAGATCACATTCACACTCTAACTAACGAATAATTAAAGCAGAAAAATTCTTATTCATATTTGTATTTATTTATTGAATTATATAACATTCTGTCACAATTTTGGATATAACACGAAATTGGACTGCTAATAAAGATCATGTCATTTATCAATCAACCTCTGATAAAGAAAGACCTAATGCTCCCCCTGCTATAATAGGTCGTACCTTTTACTTTTTATAAGTACGTAGTTACATTGTAATATTGTTTTTATATATTTTTTAAATCAATTAAAAATAATAAGACCCATTATTATAATACATGATATTAAATTGAATATGTAAACATTTTACGTATATGTACATGAATTTTCATAAAGTAAGATTAGTAAATTACAATTAGAAATTTCTAAGTCTCAGCTAGACGTAGTTGTCCTTACGGAGATCAAGCTAAAAGAAAAAGGGCAAGAATGGATTATTATCACTTTTGGAATGGTGTAGCGAAGGATGAAGGAGCAAAAGCAGGGATTTCTATGGTGTTGATGATAAAGTTAAAAAATTAGATTACGCATTGTGAGGAAATTTCAGTGTTTAGTACTCTTAATCTAAAAGCGGGATATCATCAAATTAGACTGTATCTCAGAGACCGGTGTGAAACGGCATTTACATTTGAGCGCGCCTATTACGAGTCACAAGAATGCGGTTTGGACTAAAGAATGTGCCCACCGCATTTCAAAAGTTGATGGATGAATTTTTGCTCCAAAATTGATGAGGATATGTGCCAGTTCTACATGGACGACTTTCTTGTCTTCAGCAAAAATGAGGGGCAACATGTGGACCATCTAAAAAGCGTTTTTGAAAGAATTAGAAAATTTGGACAGAGTTATTGGCCGAGATATCGCGCTTAGATCAGGACGAAATTACTTTTTTAGGCCCTCGAGAGACCAGTAGTGTACGCGAGTAGGTGCCCCACAGATGAAGAGACACGATACAGTGCTTTAGAAAGAGATTTATTAGTAATTTCCAGAGCAATTGATCACTTTAGGCCATATGTATTTGAGAAAGTCCACACGGACCACAAGCCCTTGCAGTGGGTGAGTAAATTAAAAGAATCTTCCGCGCGTGTTACTAGGTTGGAGGAGTTTCTCGGACAATATATTTTAGAAATTATGTAAAAACCAGAGAAAGAAAATGCAGTGGTGGACAGGTTGTCCCGAACAATTATGATAAATGCAGTCGAGGAAAACAGATGAGAACCATCCAGAGATATTCGGCAGTTTACACAGGAATGTACACCGGAAGGAGAGGACAAAGATAATATGGGGAGTGGGAACCAGAGAGACGAGCCACAAGAAAAGGAGGGCTCCGATGAGGATAGACCCATAGACTTAGAAGAGCTTAGAAGAGCTCGAGGAAATAATTAATGATTAAAACATCAGATAATATGGAAAAGTAGGACTTCAGGGCTTCTAAAAGCTGAATATTCTCGGTACGGGAAGAGTGACATCACTACCATTTGGTCACAGGCTGGGATCAATGAGGATCTTATTGGGAGGACGCTAAAAAAGGCATCAAAACCATGGGAGACTTAACATGGGATACGCCACAGTATGGGATAAAATTAAAAGATTACGGAGAAATGAACTGTTAGGTATGGACCGAACGTTCATTAGATGCAAATCAATGGTAGAAACTCTGAGAGAAGTTGAGCCACAGAAAGAGGTAACATTTGCGAACGAACAAGGCAAAACAAATCATCCGGGTATTCCAGAAATAATCCAGGCGTTAAAACTGCTGTATTTTTGGTGGAAGTGAAAAAGAACAACTGGGAAATCGTCGGGTTTCCCTTAACTGTGTGGTTTGATTGACCACCAAATATGACCGGCATCCTCCCAAATAGATGCAGGGGGAGACGTTAACGGCGGAGACTGCATTGTCCAATATCCAAATAGGCACGTTCGTAGGAGGGGGTATAAATGGATCACAATGCTGGACCTCTTCAGCAAGGTTGCACTAGCGCATTTAGTCCGAGAAAAGTCAACGATGGCGGTATTAGGAGCCTAATGAACATGGTTTAGTTTTTATGGGGTGCCAGAGCGAATTTCGTCCGACGGAGGTCTGGAGTTCGATAATTCGCAAGCAGCGAAAAAGATGGATATAGTATGGAGAATCAATACTGCTGGACATCCCAAGAGAAGAGGCGAGATCGAGCGGCTACACGGAACGTTGAGCGTTCATCTATAGATTTATCAGCCCGAAAAAGGATTGGACCCTGACGTGGCGATGGAAAAAGTGATGGCGGCATACAACTCCTCACTTCATTGAGTCACGGGGTTTTCTCCGTTCGAAATTCTCTTCAGGCTAAGGGAACGATGTAGAGATATCAGGGCTACGGTAGTAAATGAGGAAGTTGCAGACCATACGCCAAATAACCGCGTTTCATAAGGAAAACTATGGGAAAAAGGTTGAAGGAAAATTAAGAGTGAAAAGGGGAATCGTGTCGCGAAATCCAACTTATTAAAGTCCAAAATATTATGCGAAAAATCACAATTGGTATGGAAGTGTACAGAAAACGGAGTTCTAATCGCGGGAAAGAGTTATTACGCTACGAGGCGTCATTCAGAGTAATTGCGATTAGAGAGCGCAATGTTGTGGCCATCCAAAGCATCTGAGAGCCGCGGAAGCGGAGAAATCTTCATGATGAGCAATTGAGACTGCCAGATAGAATAGAAGAAGTAGTGATAGTGAGCTGGAGAGTCTTCCTTGCTATGCAACGGAAATGTTCTTTTAATGTGCACTAGTATAATAATAAGTTTTTGTTACGAGTTCTGATTCAGTTTTCTTTTTGTAATTTTAGTCATAAGACGTAACTTTCAAAGTTTAATCATTTTTTTTTTTTGTCCCTTAGTTAAGTTGTTAGTTAATATATTTGAGTCAAGTTGTTTTTGTTTGCATTTTTATTTTTTCTATTTCGTATTGCAATTTTTTCTATTTCAAATTTTTTCTATATTCATACTTACTTGTTTATTTTGAATTTTCAAATTTAAGTTAGTGTTAAGTTATATATTCTCTTGTTAAAAAGAAAAATGTTCTTAATAGTAATTATAAGAAGTACATACTTTTGTTAATTATAGAGTACACTTAATAAAGGTATTATCCCTATCTGCTTCAGTCTTCAATCAAAGGAAATTGGTCCATGGATCCATTAATTCCCGTACCGTATATAAGTACAAAATTTATGCAGAATGGCCATAAACTGGAGTGGTGAGGAGAGGGGTTAAGGCATTAAGCATGGTAGTATTAAACTTAATTCTATTATCATGAAAACAACTATCGATTATATATATATATATATATATATATATATTAACTATTATATATAAAACTATATATATATATATATATAGTATATAAACTTAATCTATTATCATGAAAAAGACTATCGATATATATTTATATAATTGTATAAAATATTTATATAAATTAGATATTTATATAAAATAGATATGACATAAAAACACATGTTGTAAGTTAATAAAAAAAATTTTAAATTTTCAAAAATAAGTATTTTTCATGATAAAACATGAACATGAAATCTGTTAATAAATACAATTCATAAAGGCTTTAATAAAATATATTATAGTGTTAAACAATATAGATTTTTCTGAAAATTTAGACTATCTAAAACTACTATTTTATTCTACCATAAATTAAAATAAATTTGGCCATTATCCTTATCTTATCAGAATTATCAGTGTTCAGGTTATAACATTGGCAATTAGCAGTCAATCTGGGCTCGATTCTAGACAAATACTCTATTTTACAATAGAATCTATTAATTACAAATTTTGAGTAAGCTTCATTTTACAATGTTTGATGAATTCTTGTAAAGATTTATCGGACATGGAACATTGAGGTTTTGATTTTTGTTTTTGGTTTTTTCAATTATTACAAATAAATTATCAATGTTGTTTTACTCATTTTATTAATATTTTCATTCTTCTCTAATAAACTCTTCTTGGGCCAATTCCTCAACCTAGAAAACAATGAAAATGATATATATAAAGTTATCCATAACAAGTTTTTTCCTTCTAATAATTATAAGCATATTATATATTTGTTCTTAAATATATAAACCAGGGAGTATTTTGTTTTGACAGAATAAAAAAAAATTACTTAAAGAATGGAGTAAAAGTGTCCGGACAGTTAGTGCACGTGCCCCCTGGAAGATCCGTAAAAATTTTAAGTAAAGAACCAAATTTATAGCCAACTCAGCTCAATATAGAAAGCGATAACATGACCAGACCCTATCAAAAACGGCCAAATGGTCTCAGGCTTTCTAAAGACTTAGGCAAGGGTCAACTCAAAGCTATCTTTTGGAACACAGGCGGTTTATCTAAAGAAAAATACACTGAATTAAAACAATTATTGACAGAAAGTGATGTGGACTTATATGCGATCGTCGAGGCAGAAGCAGCAACCGACAAATCTGATATGCCACGAATTCACGGATATCGAACATATTTCCTCTCAAGAATACAAGTTGCATCTGGTATTATGCTGTTAAGGCATCCATCATTGTGAATATGAAAATTAGGGAACAGCAAGATGCAAATGATAAATCCGAGGGTCTGGAAGGGAGCTTTCGGGCTGAAGCCTTCTCCAAAATGGTAAAATATAACCATGTTTTATGCTAAAAAATTATCTCTTAAAGTATTATTGTCCATGTAATTATATTTAATAGGACTTCGAGAATCACTTAACCACCAATTCATATAAGTAGTTAGTATCTTACTTTTTCCCAAAGTAATTATCGTTATATGCATGAAAAAAAAAAAAAAACGTTCAAGCTGAAGAGAGGAAAACAAGGAGATATACCAGAAAATTTCAGACTCATTGCATTAACAAGCACTTTCTTTAAGCTCTATGAGAAAATCATTGCTGAAAGACTTCAAAAATTCAAAGAAAAATATTGTCTAATATCTTCTAACCAAGCTGGCTTCAAGAAAAATTGGAATACTATTGAACAAGTAGCTTGTCCTACGCAAGACATGAAAAAAGGTTTCCAATGAAAACACAGAGAATGCTGGTTATTCGTAGATTTTAAGACAGCATATGATAAAGTCTGGAGAAAGAAGCTGGTGAATAAGCTTCAGTAATCTGCTCGAGACTATATCCTCTTTCTTACATCAAAGTTTAATAAGGGTGCAATATAAAAACTTTGTCTCGACATATTGCCAAACAAAACAATGGCTACTAAAATAAGGTTCAGTGCTGAGTTTCTTCCTGTTTAACATCATGATTGATAATATCATGAAACTCACCAAATCCAATGCTCTGGCTGAAGATGCTCTGTTGTATGCAGATGACCTCGTTATTTTGGCGACAAGTAGTGGCTTCAAATTACTAGAAAAGCGCATGCAACAGGTACTGGAATTACTAAAGCAGTGGGTTCCATGAAAATGAGATGATTGTTAACTCCGAAAAGATTTTACCTCTCTGTCAAAAATAGATGAGATAAATTTGAACTATAATAATGAGAAACTCAAATGCACTGAAAAAAAATACATATCTAGGAGTGAAACTAAATAAAAGACTCTTCTGGAATAAACATATTGAGAAACAAATAGAACAAGCTTCAACATGATTATCGTTAATACAGAGTTTAATATTAGGAAATAGATTCAGGAACAAATGAAGCTTTAATAACAAAACTTTTACACCACTTACTCCACACAGACACAAAACAAATTTTTTCTTCTCTACATAACATCACAACAACCATGAACAAAGGACTACTAGTATATATAGGTTATATACCCATGCAAACATTCTTTGTTGACAACAGCTGGACAATCTTACCAGATAAGATGCATTAACTCATCACAGAGGTTCGATTGGACACACAAGGGATGTTATGGCTCTTGCCTACAAGACATATGTTTGCCCTGTTATTAAATAGGGCATAGAATTTATTATTACAGCTTTGGACGTGATCTTACACAAACTTGACATAGTTCAAAATCAGGCCCTTAGACTCGTGACAGGCGGGAGCATATCTAATCCAATATCTAGAATTACAAACAGGCATAGTACTTCTTGAGACACACCGAGAGCAACTGGCCATTAAGCTCTATGAAAGGCTAAAACATCTTATGATCAGCTAATGAAGTACTTATGAACTTACACCTAAAGGCCATAAATACAAATTACTTTTACTAAGACAGCAGAAGGCTTGATACAAAGGAAAGGACTTGAACTAGCTGAAAAGAAACTTTTCCCAACATTGACACAAGTTACATACACTTATCAGAAAGTTTCTAATGGCTCAACATCAATTCACCAACTAAAGGCTATAACCCTAGAAACTATTGCAAAACGATTCCCAGGAGCAGAATGGCTCCATGTAAATATTGATATTCCTTCACTAGAAGCAGACAAACATGCAGGCCCCGGTCAGAAGGGTTGCCACAAACTTTAAACGGGACGTGAGAGGCATTCTCTTGGCTGAAGAGATTGTTTGAACAGAAAGACAAGAAAGTCGCTTTCTTGGTTGACTTGCAGGCAGCCATTTTTAGATAATTTTACAATCATTTTAAATCAATTTAACTAAAACTACCGTTGTTATTATTCATCATAATAGAGATAAAATAATAAATTGGTTTATCAGGGCAAGTTCCTAACCTCACGGATAGCATAGGATCCATCTCTAAACTGGACAAACTGACACTATCAATGAGCTCAGTGCTTATTTTAGGAACTTACCCTTAGTTAAATGGCAAAATATCTTTAAAAATAAATTACATACTAATGGTAACACAAAAACATCTCATTGGTAGTTAAAAACATACCTCTCCAAATTTATTTTCAAAATAAAATTCAGATTCCTCAGGACTTAAGTTATCAATATTTCTTGTTATAAGCACTTCATGTTCCTGCTAATTTTTTAAAAATTGTATTCAATTAATGAATTATAAATTGAGAAAACCTAATAATAATCAATAAATTTTCTTAATATAAATTTTACATTAATATTTATTAGCCGAAAAAATTAAAAAATTCAAACTTGTTTCAATTTCATATTAGTTGTAAATGATTGGACTTTATTTCCAAGTAATATATTAAAATGAAAATTTAAGATCGTTTCCTGATCGCTTCATATCAATAGTCTAAAACAGGTAAAATATTTGAGTAGCTCCAATGAGAAAACAGTTTTTTTTTCTTAATATTTATTGAATGGCTAAATCATAAGAAGAGCAAGCAACACTTTTAAGTCTTAAAAAATGAAGTGTTGAAATATTGAATGAAATGAAGTTTAAAAAATGAGTAGAATGTAGGTTTATAAATAAATGAGAACAGCAATACACAACTCAAGATATGTATTTTAACAAATAATTCATACACATCTGCAAATAAACACAGTTCTAGGTAAAAAACAAAACACAACAGAACCTCTGTTCTTTGATCATCCCACCAATGTTGCCATTATAATATAATCAAATATTCCAACACAGAATACTTTATTTTTAGAAAGATGGATCCACTAAAGAATTATGGAGGCTTTACTATACTGAATAGCAAGACATATACTCTGTGAAATTGTTTGTAAAGTGAGAGGCTATTGGGCTTGTCATTAGACAAAATTACAAAAATTAGAAACATTAGTAACAATGTTAGTAAAATTAGTAGTATTCTCCAAACTTTTTGGTCCAAGAGCCACATTGATACCTGGACTAAGTTTGGCGGGCCGAATTTAGATCTTGATCCAAGTACTGCAGGCAATGGTTTCTGATGAAAAAAAAATCTTGTTCTATAAATGACACTCAGCTGTGAAATGAGCTTTTTAAGAGACAAAAAAACCATGCCATAAATGTTGTAGTAACCTTGTGTATGAGTAATTTGATAAATTTTAATGTTACTGTGTAATCAAAGAAACTTTTGCAGACTGGATTGAAAAAGTCTCTTATTATGTAAATTTTTGCCGGGTACACCAAACTGTAGGAAGGAGAAATGTATTAAGGTTTGCCAACAGAACTTGGCTACTGATGAGGATCTAGATCTACTAAGATATTGCAAACTTATCTAAAGTATACAGACACTGCTATTGGTGGGGTTGGGTTCTGGCTTTAGGTTTTCTTATCCTTGTTATTATTTATTGAAATTTACAGCACTCGGATGAGAAATCTGGTTGAGATTTGAGCTGGAGTGAGGAGAGAGTGGTTAAAGCATTTGAATTTTATATGTTTTTAGTTTTTAATGTAAAATAATGTTCGAGGTTATTCTTCAACTTTGTTTTCTACATTCTGCTTTAAGATTTATCATCAATTTTATAATGAGAAGAAATGAAGTATAAAAATTATTAAATGTAGCGACAACCTTACTTTTTGATGGAGTCAAGTCCATATTCAGTTTTTGTCCCCCATTCCCTGCCTTTTAGGCTACATGGGATTTTTCCCAGGGCAGGGAAGAGGGCGGGGGAATTATGCTGAGATAAAAGTCCCACTGAGCATTAGGATTTGAACTCGTAATTCGTTTTCTATGTTAAACTTCGGTTATCAGATTCCCCGGCAACACAGGGTGCTGTGCACACCCATTAGGCAAATTGGCCACCTCGCCCCCTGAAGGCAAGTATCTGTCAGATACATTGCTGACATGTTTCTTTATTTTTATTAGAATTTAAGGAAAGAATAAATTCACTCTTTCTTTTTTCTATCCTTCTTTTTCCCTACCTTTTTTGTGTGTGTGTGTGTGTGTTCTTCCCTATCACGCCTTATAGGCTATATGGGATTTTTCCTGAGCAGAGGGTGAGGGCGGGGAATTTAAAACCCCCTCCAGCACCGGGACGCGAACTCAAACTTTTTTAATCTCATAACTTTGGTTATCTGGTGGTCTGGCAACTTGTGGTGCTGTGCACACTCGTAAGTCCATTCGGCCACACAGCCCCTTCCTTGTCCCTACCATCTTACTCATTTCTAATGTTGTCTTTGTTTTAAAAAGGCAGCAAAAAAACACATATTTTTATATTTTAGATATCAAACTCTTATTCATGGAAGTTTTAAATTACACGTTTTTCATGAATTATTTTCAAATGTTGCATACTTATTTTTAAAAAAATAGTACTCACAGATACTTTGTAGGTATTTAGGATTAATACTGAAATGAAAAGACCTTGTGAGATACTTTATTATTATCAAAAAGTAAGAACTCCAAACAAATCCATTTCTAATTAAAAAAGAAACACTTGTTTCATAATTGCCATCAAGAAAGCTTTGTAATAAAATAATTTGGAGGCTATAGGTATTTGAAAATCAAGATAACAAGCATCATGTGCTTCAGATGTGAATTATGTGAACAGTTTATTTCTCAACATCAAAGAAATAAAAAAAGGGATATTCAATATCCATCAATGATGTTTTTATTATATTATTAAATAAATGTTGTGATTGATACAGAAATAAATTATAAAAATTAAATTTTTCATGAATTTCTGATTATCAAAAAAAAAAGAGAATTTCATCATAACTTCTTTGTTTCTTAATATACACCAAATTTCGATCACCTTCAAAGTATTGTTCCTTGACCACAATGCACCTCTCAAAACAATCCTTCCATTGATCAAAATATTTTTTAAATTCAGTTATCAGGATATTCTTTATTGTCAGTCTGGCAAGAGACAGCATACAGTTCACATCACTCCCGTGAAACTCAGTAATTTTTTACATAAACTAATCTATTTCATAAATTTTTTTATAATAATTTCTCATAATAGTATTTTTGTTTTTAATCCATCATAGTTGCGTCTTATATTTATTTATGAATCATTATACATAGAATAGAATAGAAAATTAAACTTTATTCTGGGACTAAGTCCCTTTAGAATAACAATGGTGAGTTAATACAAAGTAAAGTACAAATCTGGCCAAAAACTAACTTATAAAAATTTTAATATTATATACATTATTTAAAAAGTATGTAACCAGTAAAAAATAAAAAATAAAATATATATACAAATGAACATAAAATCTTCTCAAAATTACTTAATTGTGATGAAAAAAAAAAAAAAAAAGAAGAGAAATTACATATTTATATATACATAACTACACAATTTGTAAACAATAGGCTATCTAATAGAAAACTAACTTAATACAAACTATAATAATGTCTACAGTGGTTTATATAATAATATGCAGACACTAAGATAAAATAAAATCTTAGGATACTTGTGGTGTAATGGAAAAAATAAAAATAAAAATAAAAGGAACTATTTATACGTACATTCTCATATTGGCACACATAAAGACAAAAATATAAAATATAATCATATATATCTGAAAGAAAAAGCACAACCTGAGGAGAAGAGAAAAATACATAAATAGTAAAAATAATAGTCTCAAACTAGGTGACAAAAATCATTGATGTTTTATGTTAAAACTTAAACAATAGGCACCACTATTTACTTCACGCAAATTCAGTTCGTAAAATGAAATTTATGGTGGTAAATCTTCTGTTTCAGATGTACGGAGATATTGGAAAAGGAGGTATTTGAAAGTTGACAGGGAAGAGGCATGACGGACGTTATGTGGCAAAGAATTCCAGTAGGAGACGGAGCGGGCTAAGAAGGAATGTTCATAGATTTTTGTCCTGTGGAATGGAATATAGAGGTCAGAAACACGGGATCTCGTTTTTATTGAGTGGACTAAGGGTTTAGGCTGGAGGAGACAACAGATATAAGAAGGGTGCTGGGAGTTGATCGTTTGGTATAAGAAATTTCCAAGGAAGTATAGGCACTTATCCTGTCTAGGTCTCTCTGAATATTCGTAAACGCTTCTAATAACTCAGTGGGCAGAAAGGAAAAATAAATTTGGGAGTCATCAGCACATAGATGGTATGAACAATGGTGGATTGAACTAGGATGGTCATTGATGTAAGAATTAAAAAGGATAGGAGAAATGCTTGAACCCTGGGCTACTCCATGAGACAAAGTGAGGAAAGAAGATAAGGGTTGATTCGGAATACTAATGGCTTGATTCCTGTCAGAAAGAAAGGATTGGAGCCATTGGATAGAACTATTGGAAAAGGATAGAGATTTTAATTTATTGAAGAGAATAGAATGGTCTAAGAAATCAAATGCTTTGGAGAAGTCCAGGAGTACTAATACAGTCAGTTTTCTTTTGTCAATTGCAGTATGTATGTCATTTGTGATTTTAACTAAAGCGGATTGAGTGGAGAAGCCCAGGCGAAAGCCAGATTGGAGAGGATCTAAAAGTTTGAACTCTTCGAGAAAATTGGGAATTTGGGATTGGACTATTCTTTCGAGGGGTTTTGACAGATTTGAGAGGATGGAAATTGGATGATAGTCTTTAGTAAAGGTGGGGTTAGGGATTTTGTTAATAGGACGGACTAAGGCTTTTTTCCAGGATGTAGGAAAAACAGAATTTAGAAGGGAAAAGTTATAAATGAATAGAACAACTGAAAGGATTTCAGGGAGGCCTAATTTTAACAGTTTGACATGTATTCCGTCAATTCCTATATAGTAGGATTGTGATTTCATTATGGAGGAAATAAGGTTCGTAGGAGTGATGTAGGAATAATAAAAATTGTCACTATTAAATGCAGATGATACAGATATATGGGAAGAGGCGGGAGAAATATTACTAGAGGAGGAGGATAAAAAGTAGGAATTTAAGGCATCAGGAGAGACTGGGACAGCTATGGAAGAAGATGATTTGCAAAGAGATAGCTTTTGGAGTAAATTCCATTTGGATTTAGAATCGGGAGCTGAGGAGAAGGCTTCGTGAAAGTAATTGGTTTTCGCTTGCCTGATCGTTGTCTGCGTCAAGTTACGGAGTACCCTGAACGGTTCGTAGTCATCTGCAAGCCTGGTTCTTCTAAAACGTCTATGGGCTGCCTCACGTCTCTTTCGAATTTCTTGACGCATCCAAGGATCAGGTTGGCGGCGGAATGTAGAGGTTTACATAAAAGAAAGTTCGTGAACCATCTGCTACAGAGAAAAGAGAAGAAGCTAATTCCTTTAAGCAGGAGAGTATTAAAGGCCATCAACACGCCTTAGTGGTAAACAACACTTTCCTTGCTTAAGTAAATTTTTTTTTTCTTTTAACAAAATGGTGCAATGCTCAACTTGTGATGGCCCTATCGTGAGAGATGATAAATATAATTTAAGCTGTAATATTTCACGGCAAATGTTGCAATTACAGTGAAAAAGAGATCGAAGCTATAAAATTGAAAAAAAAAAAAAGCGTGGCTATGTAAAAAGTGTGAGCAGGGTAAAAAGGCTGCCCCAGCTAGTGATAAGTCAGCCAGTCTATCCAAGAGTGACACCAGAGAACCCTCATCATCAGATATTCTCCTGGCCGTCAACAAGCACGGTGAACGAGGATATAAAAAATTTAAAAACGTCGCTTGAGAAGTATGGTGAAATCAGTTTCGAATTGAATGAGAGGTTAAAAAAAAATAGGACACCTAAATGCCTAGAAGAACTTACCTCAGAAAATAAGATGCTGAAATCGAGAGTAGGTGAACTTGAGGTGCGGGTAAACAAAGTCGAGCAAGGTCTACTTTGTAGATCAATAGAAATTCGCGGCATCCCGGTACGCGCGGAAGAGACTCCATCAGCCTTGGTAGCCAGCGTGGGAGCCTACCTCGGGATTAAAATCAATGCAGAAGACCTCGACTTTGTGGAGCGACGGAGACCAAGAAAAGATGGTCCTCGACCCCCACCCGTGATTGCTCATTTTGTGAGGCAGTCTGTACGGGATGAGTTGGTACAAAAAAGAAAGGTAAAAAGGAACTTTTCTATCAAGGATATTGGTTGGCAAGACGACTCCCACCGGATATATCTACGCGAAGAAATGTTTCCTATGAATAGACGTCTCTACTAGCTCACCCGTTAGAAAAGAGCAGCAGGCAAATTAAAAGTAATTATGGTTTGCTGGCGGTAGAGTTTGTTGTAGAAAAGAAGATGGACACCCGGTGATCTACATCAATCAGCCACAAGATCTTGACATTTTCTACTGAGGGTTTGACATTCGTCAATTTGATGGTCATAATTGGGAAATGTTAAGCGTTGCCTACTATAAATCACCTTGCCGTATTATGTTACTGTTTTACCATTATTTTTTCTCTAGCACAACTGACGTAATCTTTTATTTTATCATGTTTAGTCTTTTTTATCATTGCTGTATATTATTATTATTATTTGTATTTAGCCATTACTTGCTTCTTTTTAAATGTTATTCATTATATTTTAGCTGCCTTTCATCATATTTCTCTATTTCCTCTCCAACAAGTCTAGTGTCCTGACCTCTTGTCATGTTAATTCGCAATCCTTACCAGCTCATTTCGACGAATTTCAGCAATATTTTACGTGTAATTTTTACCATACTATTGCAGTTTCCGAAACATGGCTAAAACCCCACATCCATTCCTCTTCGGTTTCCTTAGCCAATCACACCTTTATCCGCCATGACTGGATTACACGAATGGGTGGTGGTGTGGGTCTTTACGTCCATAATAGCCTAAAACCCCGAATCCTAGATATCTCACCCCCTTCCAATTGTCCTCACATGGTATACCTTTTTGTTGAAATTTCCTTTAAAGAACATCTTCTCCTATACGTTGTAGTATATCGCCATCCTCTGGTACCTTTCAACCCATCCTTTGAATCTACCCTACACAAATTTATCCTATTTTACAGTAACATAATAGTTTCTGGTGACTTTAACGCCAATCTCCTTTCCGATTCCTACGACAAACACTACTTATAAAACCTTTTCTACTCCCTTAACCTCTTTATCGTACCATTTGCTCCTACTCATCACACGTTAATAAATTCAAAATACGCAAAAGAGACGTGAGGCAGCCCGTTGACACTTTAGAAGAATCAGACTTGCAGACGACTATGAAGCGTTTAGGGTACTCCGTAACTTGACGCAAACAACGGTCAGGCAAGCGAAAAACAATTACTTTCATGAAGCCTTCTCCTCTGCTCCCGATTCTAAATCCAAATGGAATTTACTCCAAAAGCTGTCTCTTTGCAAATCATCTTCGTCCACAGCTGTCCCAGTCTCTCCTGATGCTTTAAATTCCTACTTTATATCCTCCTCCTCGATTAATATTTCTCCCGCCTCTTCCCATATATCTGTATCATCTGCATTTAATAGTGACAATTTTTATTATTCCTACATCACTCCTACGAACCTTATTTCCTCCATAATGAAATCACAATCCTACTATATAGGAATTGACGAAATACATGTCAAACTGTTAAAATTAGGCCTCCCTGAAATCCTTTCAGTTGTTCTATTCATTTATAACTTTTCCCTTCTAAATTCTGTTTTTCCTACATCCTGGAAAAAAGCCTTAGTCCGTCCTATTAACAAAATCCCTAACCCCACCTTTACTAAAGACTATCATCCAATTTCCATCCTCTCAAATCTGTCAAAACCCCTCGAAAGAATAGTCCAATCCCAAATTCCCAATTTTCTCGAAGAGTTCAAACTTTTAGATCCTCTCCAATCTGGCTTTCGCCTGGGCTTCTCCACTCAATCCGCTTTAGTTAAAATCACAAATGACATACATACTGCAATTGACAAAAGAAAACTGACTGTATTAGTACTCCTGGACTTCTCCAAAGCATTTGATTTCTTAGACCACTCTATCCTCTTCACTAAATTAAAATCTCTATCTTTCTCCAATAGTTCTATCTTATGGTTCCAATCCTTCCTTTCTGAAAGGACTCAAGCTCTTAGTATTCCGAATCAACCCTTATCTTTTTTTCTCACTTTGTTCTCATGTAGTAGCCCAGGGTTCAAGCATTTCTCCTATCCTTTTTAATTCTTACATCAATGACCTCTCCTTACATTCCAAACAGATGATTCACAACCATAAATTTCATTTTATGAACTGAATTTGTGAGAAGTAAATGGTGATGCCTACTGTTTAAGTCTTAACATAAAACAGCAATGAGTCACCTAGTTTGGCTATTATTTTTGCTATTTGTTTTTCTCTTCGCATCAGATTGTGCTTTTTCTTTCGGATATATATGTTTATATTTTATAACTTCGGTTATCAGGTTGCCAGACAACACGTGGTGCTGTGCACACAAACGTTAGCCCGCATGGCCACCCCGCCCTTATCTCACAGAGTTGATCAATTGTTCGGCGACGTTCTTCACTAATAAGACCACTGATTTTGTCAACGTTTTTGAGGGGCGTCCTGCATGGGATTGGTCTTTAGTGGACATTTCTCCATTTTTAAAATGTAAAACCACTTGTAGACTCCGGTTTTACCTAGGGCAGCATCCCCGTAAGCAGTTTTAAGCATTACAATAGTTTCCAATTTTCCCAACAGGAAACAAAATTTCATAGCCGCATGTTGCTCTCAACAATCGGCATTCACGTTTTCGGCGAAATGGAAAAAGTGGTTTCACTAAAGATAGAAGTAGCACAACTTTGCACACTGACTCAGGAGACGTGGCCCTAATGGGCACTGAACAATGGGGAGGAACAATGGGTTTCCTCATTCTCCCTCCCCACTGCAGTCCAATTTCTAATATTTTTGGGTCCTTCATCGTATACAGAAAATATGTCATTATCAAAAAATATTATCAGGGGGACCGAAAAGTAGAAAAGTAATGTCGTTTTCTTACATTAAATTCAATGTACAAAATATTAAGAGATAGCATTTAAATTGCTAATCTTTTGCCACTTAGAAAGTGTTGAAGTGATCGGCATAAATGGAAATCTGATGATGCAACATCGGGCGAGTATGGTGAGTGAAGGAGTACCTCCCAACCCTATTTATTCATTTTTTTCCAGAGTTCGTCTTGTGCAGTACGGTCTTTCATTTTTGTTTTGCAGAATAATGCCTACTTGATTGACAACCGCATTTTGGTTAAAGATTGATTTACACAAGCCAATTGTTCACAGTATAGGTCTGCATTCACAGTTTTCACTAGCTTAACAGTACTTCTTGGCAATACATTAGGAGAGAGTCACTGCCTTTTGCATTTTGGATTATCATAGGCCCCATTTTTCATCTCTGGTGATCAATAAATAAAAAACCTGTTAAGCAGCTGTTAAAGCAGTAAGTTGCATGTGGTGAATCGGTGGATGGTCAACCAAGGTTGGTTAAGGCTGTTTTGACAATTCCTCGATTGTTTGACAGCGATTTGATTCCATTTCGGTTTTTAACACCTCATTGTCTAATGTTGCTGGTCTTCCTGATTGATACGAGTTGAAAAGATCAAGATTAAGTTTGAACTTGAAAAACCACCTTTGACATTTACGAATATCTGATGCTTTTGGATAAGCATCATGAAAACTCAAGTAATAAGTAATGCCAAATATGTACATCTTCTGGTATTTGGCTGGCCATTTCATCCAAAATTGTGACAAAAAATTCAATTTAATTATTTACAACTAAACAAGTTACTCTAAACTTAGAATGTCTTTTCCACAACTTTCACATACACAATCAGCTGAAAAATGATGTGGTGGCAGCAGTAAATAAAAATGTATCTTTATTTCTTATTATTGTATAGTAAAATACTCAAATTGTAAATTGAAATATATATATATATATATATATATATATATATATATATATATATATATATATATATACATTGTAAATACTTTTTATTAATAAAGTTTAATGGCGATAATATATACTGATCAAAGCTTAAAAATAACTGAAATTATAATGGCTTGAAAACAGCCTTTTTTTTCTCAAATATTATTTTTGACAATAAATTGGTGATATCATGTTCTTTCATATAAAAATTCAGTAGACTTTGGCTAAAAATAGATGAAGAAAAATAAACAGGTGATTGTTATCTAATAAAACCATCTGCCTATAACTTACCTCCTCAACGAATGGCTCATTTTCATCAACAATATATTCATGATGTTCTTCATGTGCGTTTTCTTCACTGTGTTCTGTTTCACCGACTAATTCCTGTAAAATAGAAAAAGTATAGCCTTTTATCTGATCTATATTAAAATTAAATTTATATTTCAACCACTAAATCTTTTTTTTTTTTTTTTTTTTTTTATTGGTGATATTTACAACTGTATTACAAGTAAAAATACATTCAGTAAATGTGAACAAAGGAATAAAATAGCATGAAATCACATGTTGAGAAAATACCCATTGGTAGTACTCTAAAAATGTATTTACAAAAGGAGATCTCGAGGCCATCTTCTTTTCAGACGCCTCTGAGGGTTGTCAGGGATCGAAGAGGAAGCAAGGTTAGAAACAAGAGGGTTTGGATGGTTCTGAAGTTTGTTATGGAAGGATAGGTATCTGGATTGGGCCAAGTCAGAAACATAAGGAACATTAAGGTCGTTATGGATGATTTTGTTTGTGACAAAGTAAGGAACAGTGAGGATTTTACGAAGGATTTTGGATTGTAAGGATTGAATACGAGAGGAATTCGATGGCTTAGTGGAGCCCCAGAGCTCAACTCTGTAAGTCCCACTAAATCTTAAAATGGCAGTTCTCCATCAGTAGCTAATTTGAGAAAAAACCAAACAATTTTTTTTTCATATGTATTCTTTCTTTTTCAACTAATAAAACAGTAAAGGAGTACTATAGGGTGAAATTACTTTGAAATGCCTTTTTCCTTCTGTGAAGAAGTTTGTATGCATAATTCATTAATTTGCCCTTCCCAAAAGTGGTATATTAGCAAAATGTCATTATTGTGGCCCAAAAAGTTTTGAATCATAATAATTAAAACTAACAGGACATATATGAATTAAATGCATCAAATATCAAGATTTACAAGCTGTGATAAAGATCAGAAAAGTAGAAGCTATACAAGAAAATAAATAATACCAATATTGAAAAAAAGTCCAGCACCTCAAAAAAACTCTCATATACAACCCTTTAGCAAAAACAGAAAATCAAAAATATGTTCACTCCCTGAAGAGGGTGCATTTGTGGGTATATTTTCTTATATTACAATTAAACCTTTATTATTATTAAAAACTGTGATTAAATTGAAACTTTTGCTATCACTGGAAAACGGAATTTTCTCTCTTTTTGATAAAAACCATAAATAATGTGTACATTTCTAAGATTTAAATAAAATGTGTATAACAGTTAATAAAACAATCATTAATATATTATTTTACATCACAAATTCAATTTGATTCAATACACTCAGATTTGTCCAAATAGGTAGGTATATTTTAATGTACTTTTAGTATGATCACTTTTGATCAAATTTGAAGTTGATTAAATGATTTTTCTCATAGCTATGGAAAATTTTCATGATTGTGCAATGACTGCCACATCGCCCGGTCTAATGACCTCAGATAGCCACTCACCCTCCAGGTTGGGTGAACAGTACACTGACACTCACACAGTACACCGATTACTGCATACTATACTCACTCCAGCATTATACACTAAGGTCAATAACATTACTGACTTAGGAAAACCTTCCCTAGGTATTTAGAATAATATGTAGAATCAGCCAAAAAAATTTGGTTAAAACCTGGTAATTGGCCTTACTAGCAATTACTAGTTCTATTTTTACTAACTACAAGCTCCTGTTTTCATCTTCTGAATTAGAATCTTTCCCTTGCCCTGTGTTCATTGATAAAACATATATCATGGCTTATAGATTTATTATTACTTGAATTTAAAATAAAAGAGGATATATAACAAATAAAATATTGACAGCTCCCTAATTACATTAACTAAATGACAAGATAAGATAAACGGATTTAAGGAAGATTTATATAAGTTTCTTTTGAAAGTAAGATTTGAAATTAAAAGATCTAATGAAAATTACACATAAAAAAATTGATCCTTTTAAAATAGTTTCCTTACCAAGTAACTATAGAAAAGTAAAATAATTTTAGTTTTTATTTGTATGTTATCACTGATTCCAATCCCCAATCAACTTCCCAGCCAATTGTTCTTTTTGTTTTAAAAAACATCTTTTCTTTTTGTTGCCCATTCACCAGCTAGTCAAAATCTCATTGACAAGATAAAAATTGCATTTCAATATATTTTATACAAAATTGGGGGTATGGTATATTTATATTAAACCAATTTTAAAAGTTAAATTACAACTATGAAAAGTAATGAAGACATAATTGATAAATTATTAGTATAGCAACAAAAACATTAAGCAAATTAAGTCTTCAAACTCATTTTTCAAGGTAACAAATATAATTATATATATATATATATAAATTTTAATTGTATTGATTGAGAACTAAGGGAAAACGTTTAAGCAGGAATCACCATTTTCAACTCTATATCTTCACTAAAATTCCAATAAAAATTTTGAAATGAGTTTTAATGAAGGTGTTTAGTGTATCCTTTGACAAGATTTGCATGCATTATATGCCCAAAAATGTATTTTTTTTAAGAAAGTATAGACTGAAAACTAGTATGCTTGTGAATATTCTTTTGAATTGTATTGTAAGCTTATTTTAGGTTTGTTCTAACATTGCATGCCATTACATCCTGATCTCAACCTTAACAAAACAAAACATTTTAATTTAAAACAAATTTACCTCTTTAATAGCAAAATTTTAATTTTGAAATCAGGTCATCTATAATATTATATTAAGGTTATCAACAAAACTGCTGCACATCATTCTTACATCCAATATCATTGATAAAAAATTAAATATATGGATTAATTTTTAATTTTATCATTATAAATTATTTTGAAGATAAATTGGTATTTTGAAAGCAGCCAGAATTCATATCATACCCTTTCTTCATGTTCCACTTCATCTGCTTCTAATAATTTTTCTTCCTCTAATTTTTCAGTTAGATCAAGTTTACTTTGTGGTTCATCACTAACTTCTGTTGGAGGCTTTGTTGAATTCTGAAACGAAAACCACAGCTTTTTAAATAATTACTATCAATACCAGGTTATTTGGAGAGGCTCACAAAATTAGGTCTTTTATTTTGCATGAATATGGAGCTTTAGCCTATTATCATTAGTAATGCATCATGAGTGTGAATTTGCATAAAGGGATTCCCTGTTAACTTCTGGGCTAGGGCCCATCTTGAAATCTGATGATATTATTTACTATACCAGTAATGTAAACATATCATTATCTAGTATTATTGTATGGTATTGTTGTTATATATATTATCATCAATGTTATTGATATTTTATTTTGAATTTTGTTACCTTCTTTATTACTTTAATATGTAGTATATTTTTAATGAATAATATTAGTAATGATTTGGTGCTATGTTAATATAAAATAAACAGCCAGATCTTCTGTAATTGTTCTATAGGAAATATAGAATTTTATCTATCTACCTATCAAAAAAATAGCAGATTATAATTGGAAAAATTCCAATCACACAGCCTTATGTCTCCAAAATCCAGGCCAAAAAAAAAAAACTATCAACATTTCACCAATTCAGGCATCATCATCAGGACCCCTAAGTTCATAAACGAACCAAGTCAATAAAATAAACGTCTCATGAAATGGTGAGTGTGAGCATGCATATGTCTTTATATAAATATATACAACAGAATGTTTCAAAATTGGCCCTGGAAAACAGTAAATTACCCAGCATAATTATTGTTTTGTTCTTAAAGATAATTTTCTGTGTATTTTATTTGCATGCATTTCAGAGACATAAGGCTGTCTGGTAGGATTTTTTCTAATTATAACCTAACATTTATGTTCTGTCTCTTGGTGAGTTTGTTACTAATTTATATTAATTACTAATACCTTTAACTACCCTCATTTTCTGCCTCAAATTACTGCTAGATATTTTCTATCCTAATTCAAAATGCAAAGAAAATTGTCTTTTAGAATAAAACAACAATTATGTTGGGCACTTTACTCTTTTACAAAGCCAATTCTGAAACATCATGTTGTATATGTTTAAATAAAAACATACATGCATGCTCAAACTCACACCATCATTTCATGAGGCTTGGTTATTTTATTGACTTGGTTCGTTTATGAACTTAGGGGTTCCAGATGATGATGCCTGAATTGGTGAAATGTTGATAGGTTTTTTTTTGCCTGGATTTTGGAGACATAAGGCTGTGTGGTTGGAAATTTTTCCAATTATAATTTCCAATTTATGGGCTTACATTTCCTTTTCAATTTTTATTGGATGCTTAAGACAAAGATGAAAAGATTTAAGTAATTTTTTTTCAATATAAACTAGGCCAAGATTGGCCACGAAAACTTGGAACTACAGTGTTCAACAAAATTTTGTTATGTTTTGGTTATCTTTTGTTATGTTGATAAAACAAAATAGAATTTGCAATAAAGAATATGCTCTGTCCTTTTTACTTACTCAACCGTGACCAGCTCCAGACGCAGCAGTCGTAGAGAAGAGGTCGTCCTCACGCGGCTGAGGATCGGACATACTAGACTGACTCACCTCCACCTCATAACAAAAGATTCTATCCCCCGATGTCAAAAGTGTAACCAATCACTAACTATAAAACATATTTTGGAAGAATGCCCTTTTTACACCGCAAGATTAAAAGATTTTGGAATACCCCAGAATATATCAGCATCCCTGGGAAATCAAGAAGAAATAGTTACCAAAGTCATCAAGTTTCTGGATAGTGAAAGACTTAAAAAACACATTTGACAGGCTTTTTTTTATTTATTAATTTCCTTTTTATCTATTTATTTTTATTATATTTTCTCTTATTATTATTATTTTTTTTTCACTTGATTTCATTTCATTTTAAATTCATTTGTTTATTAATCTCAATTCATTTATTGATTCTACTGCTATTTTTTAAAGTTTATTTATTTATACATTTTTTATACATCTTATTACCTATAAATGTCTATTATTATCCTTATTTATTTATTTTATTCTATCAATCCATTTCTTTATCTATTTTATTTTATTTTATTTATTTATTTTTTTTTTTTTGTACCAATCATCCAAATAGTATTAAATGATGTTATTTAGTTGATCGGGCGCTTATGACCTGGATGTTTTGCGCCTAGACATCGAAACAAACAAACAAACAAACTTACTCAATTAAGTAATAATCACAAATAAATATCAGCTGCTTATAATTTAAAATATCAACAGCCACATTGCAAGCTCCTATAAAAAAAAACTAAACATTTTGAGTTCCAGCCGCAGAGTAAGGGAACCCTGGTACTTGCCCAGAGGTGCCGGGCTGAAAGTGCCACACACTTATTAGAAATATAAAAAAAGTATACAAAGTGTATGTGAAAAATTGTTTTTAGCTTATTAATAAAGCTCATTGATACTGTAGTCTATGCACAAAACGCTTTATACATTCAGTTTTACATAACCACTTTTCATTGAGCATTTCATTACGTTTTTTCTGTAATGACACAATCTCTATAACCTTCACAATAACTTACAGTGTTTTATATCCCTATTTGCTGGTTTTTAAATGACAGATTTTTACATAAGGCCATAAAGAAGAAATGAAACATTGTAGATTTCAAGGAAGGAGATGGTCCGGGATAGCGGTCATAAATAGACTAAATAGTGGCAATACTATTTTATTAAAAGCTAACGTTTTGATCCGGCTTTGCAGGTCTTCTTCAGAGCTAGAACGGACAAGATACAAAAATATATAGAGGATTGTGGAAATTACATCATATTTAGATAAAAAATTATAAACAATGTGGATAAACTTACTAAAAAGTATAAACAGTAAGTACATTAAAATATTAAGCACAATGAGTTGTATAAACAGAGTAGGAAAAAAAGGAAAAAGGACATAATATGAAATAATGGGCATAAAGGGATGTGGAGAAAGAAAAGAAAAACAAAAAATAAAATTAAAAGAATAAAAATAGAGACTTACAGATGTGTTCAGCAAGGAGTTTCACTTAGAACTGGAAAACCAAGTAAGTAAGTATTGAGGAAATTTGCTGACCTGGTTGGGAAATGGTGAGGAGGTAAGTAGTAAAATTAAAACAAAACCTGGAAAATTACAGTATCTAAAATTTGAAGATACGGATGGATACAAGGGAAAAGCCTATATGTTAAAGAAAAGCAGTTTTTATTTACTTTATAATTAACAGGATTCTATTGCATGTGAATGTGGATGGATTCAGAAATGAATCTTTTTCCATGGTTTGGGACCATTTTAGGCACATTTAAAATCTTATAAGTGAAAAATAACTTATTTATTACATCTTATAATTTTTATATATTTTCAATTTTTATTGATTAATTCAATTTAATTGTTCATTATTTTTAAGTATTTCCACTTTTTTTATGATCTGTCTTTTATTTTTAATTTTATATTTACATTCTACATCAATGTACGATCATCCGTTATTACTTTATATTTATTTTACTTTTTAACCATTATGTCTCTATATTATCTAATATTTAAATGTAATTTTCTTACATATGTACAACTAAGTATAATTATAATTATTTATATTTGTTACCTCTCTATTCTTCTAAATTAATTCTGCAATGTATGGTCTCTTATTTTTATATTTATACTTTACTTCCGTGTACGTTTTACTTCTTTCTTTTTTGTTCTTATTCACATTTTACTCCTATCTATAATTTCTTAATTCTATTTTATATGTATATGTATACATTTATAATGTATTATTAATATTTTCTCTTGTATCCATTCATATCTTCAAATTTTAGATACTGTAATTTTCCAGGTTTTGTTTTACTTTTACCACTTACCTCCTCACCATTCCCCAACCAGGTCAGCAAATTTCCTCAACTCCATGGAAATTTTTCTTACAGGCTTTTGCAGTGTGGCTGTCGATATATTGCTCAAATAACTATAATGAAAATGAAGAAATGTACAGCACTAGTAAAGAGAGAACATAAAATAAAATAAATTTACTACCTTTTGAGATTCCTCCATCACTTCTTCATGCTCTTCCTCCACTATTTCTTCTTTTTCAGGATAATGTACTTCAAATTTCTAATCAATAAGAAAAATATTAATGTAAAATAATAAAAATTAAACACCCAATTAATTAATTATATACTTATTATATAATTATATATAATATAATTATTAAACACCTAAACAATTAATCAACATAAAATGATAAACATCTTGGTTTAAATCATTTGCATAAATTCAATTCGCAGATCCCATTACCTTATCTTAAGCATAGCTATTGTTGAAATTTTACAACTCTAGGTAAATAACAACCAAGGGTATAGCCAGAAGGGAGCAATTATTTAAAAGGGAAACCAATTACTTTAAAAGTGGGAGAATTAGTATTAATTTTTAAATAAGTTACTTTCATAATGTATATATACAACTTACCAACCTGTCACTCTTAATCTTTTCTCCCCAACATGACTTTTTGGATATTTAAAGTTTTCCCACTGTTAATATTTTTTTCAGAATTTGTTCTTTATATTTATTGTTAATTTATTTTAATTTTTTTCCACAATGGAAAAAAAAAAAACAGAAGCTGTCCCACCCTGTCCATTTTGAAACTTTTCTTAATGAGTAATCAATCCTATTTTAGTTAAAATAGTATAGATGCTATCTAGTGAGTCCCCAATCAGTTTATTTTTCACACATTCATCACAAAAAAAAATTTCTAACTAGTATTTTGTTTCATGACCTTTGACCCCATGGTATGTTACATATGCAGGAAACCAGAACATTTAAAAAAGTACTGCTGGTTTAACAAAGATAAAAATACTAAATCATATAGATACTGACTTCCTGACCTCTTTCCAAAAGCTAAGATAAAGATAAAGTAGTCTTAGTCCAAGAATTTACTGTACAGGCGATACTCCCTGACCATAAGAGTGTATGACATCTGGTTTCAGCTGGTACTTCTCACATGGCCCCAAACCTATCTATGATTGAGGAAGTAGTTAAAGAAACTAAGGTCATTTGTAGAAGATGAAAAGATCATTAGCTCATCATGCAGAGGAAATATCAGAGTGAAAGATATTGGGCGAGGGATAGAGAATAACCTTAACCTTCAGGATGTTTTAGTTGTACCTAAACTTCGGGATAATCTGCTGCCTGTGCCCAAAATAGTAGAAAAGAATCATCAGAAGTCGAGGTAGTAACTAATGAAGATGAATTAGTATGCTCAGGTGACTATAAAAATAACCTATTTGTAATCAGATTTGACAAGGCTTACAATAGTAAAGAAGAAGATATCTGCCTAGCTGGAAGGGTGGATAGAAAATTATGGCACTGAGAAAAGACCCTGTTAGCACAAGAAAACTCAATGGCTGATAAAAACTTGGTAACTGATTTGAGAAACTTAGACGGGATATTAGGTGTGAGTGAACCTTGTCTTCCTGGGAAAAGAAAGAATTTTTACCACAATGATACAGAAACAGTGTCAAGACTCCTGGATAGATTTTAAACAGATTTGTGTGGGTCCACATGAACTGCTACATTAGGTAACAAGTACTATTTTATATCATTAGTTGAGTTTTTTTTTTTTTAGAAAATATTTTGTAAAAATTTTGAACAGTGAGACAGAAGTTAAAAACACTAAATAAAGTGTTAGATCTGACAATGGTGAAAATTATAAACTTAAAAATTATTTCTCTCAGAAAAGTATTCAGCATGAGCTTATGGTATATTATTCACCACAAAGTAATGGTGATGCAGAGCGAGTTAATAGGATGATATTGGAGACTACCTGTTGCCTCCCGACAGACCAGAACAGTTATGGGGTTTATATAGTTCCTTATAAAACACCTCAACAATTATTCATTTATAAAAAACCTTGCTTTAAACATTTAGGAGTTTATCGCTGTTTAACCTTTTACAAAGCCAATAATCCAAACCTGACTGAAGTGCAACCCAAAGCAAGGAAGAGAGTATTAGTAGGATACTTTCAAACCAGAAGCTCTGATTAAATATATATCACTCAAGAAAGGAAAATCCATGAATCAAATAATTTAACTTTTGATATAGGGAGAAGAGATTGGCATACAAAACATCAGAAGATGAAAAGACATTTAGCACTGCTGGAAATATCCAGACACCAAGGAGATGAGGATATTGACAAGGGAATAAGAGAAGAGAACATTGGAGGTGATGAAGATCAAAATTTGGTGCCAGAAGGACATGCTGGCCCAGTAGTTAACAACTGTCCAGTGATAAAGAAGACTTTATGGGCTTGAAGACAAAATTTTATTCTATTTCCTGAGGACAAGAAACATTAGAATGTCGAAAGGTGTCTTAACTTCTGATGATGATGATGATGATGAAGAATAGCCTTGTGAAAATAACAACAATGTAAATCCGCAAGGGTCAACAAGAGTCAGAGGATGATGCCTGAGAAATGAAGGATTATGTTTTTGAAACTCTCTAGAAGCAACCAAAAACTTATGAAGATATTTTAAATGCACTTGATGCGAAACATTAGCTTGTGGCGATGAAATGAGAAATTAAAATTGTCTACGAAGAGCCAAAGGACCATATATGAGATATTTTAATTAATAATGTGGCTAAAGAAGTGATGGAGAGACAATTTGAGAATACAGGTGTAGTTGAGTTGGTTGCATTAAGAAAACTGGGGGCGGGGTGTCCGAATAGGCTAAAGTGTGTGCACAACACCGCTAGTTGCCTGGCAACCAGATAACAGAGATTTGAGATGATATAAAAAGTACAAGTTCGCGTCCCGGTGCCGGAGGGGATTTTAAATTCCCCGCCCTCACCCCCCGGCCCGGGAAAATCCCGTGTAGCCTAAAAGGCGAGGTAGGGAAGAACAAAAAAAAAAAAAAAAAAAAAGGTTGTATTAAGAAATAAATAAATAACAAAAGAAATTTTAGGAAGAAAATTGTTGAGGAAAATTACTTCATTATTTCCTATTTATTGATTGTATAAATTATATATGAATTTTATCAATGTAAATAATTTATAAAATATAAATAAATATAACACCAAATGTGGCAACGCTGGGGCAGACTAATGAGCAGCATGAACATGCTTGGCTTGGGTCTGGTCACTAGTAGTGGCATCCATTAGAGTAACATTGAATCTTAATTGTTTTATATTGATGTAGAGATGGTTGACCGTTAATATAATATGAGAAGGAGTTAGTCGAGGGTGCGGTCCAATAAATAAAAAAAAATAAAATATATAAATTATTTTAATTTTGCCGACGTTTCGACCCACTTTGCAGGTCGTCTTCAGGGCGTAGGATGTGACACTGCGGGAGGCAGTTGAAACACTGGCCAGTGTTTCAACTGCCTCCCGCAGTGCCACATCCTAGGAAACTGAAATCAAAACAGAAAAACATTAGGTGAATTAAAACCTCATATTTGAATTAGAACTGATGTTTCAATATCTGTCCGATGACAAGATGTATGTGTTTCTGATACTTTTGAAAAATATAAATGAACTGTTCATTGAAAAAAAAACAACAGTTTTTAAGAACACAACAATTCATGGAGTAAGACATATTTGTGTTATAACAGATTCTATTCATTTCATACCATATCTTATTCGTTTTAAAATGGATCCTATTTGTTTTAAAACGGGTCCTATTCATTTTAAAACAAAGTCTATTCATTTAATAATAGGTCTGGAAATGAATGAAATGTTACATATATAAAATTTTTGGCATTTTTTGAGCTTGAAATTGATAATATTTTAATTTGTTTTTAATATTAAGTAAATGCTTAATCTCAAAAATCACTTTTTAATTAATTTAAACAAAAACTTAGTTTTAAAAATAGAATGACTTTTATTTTGTCAATATTTTAATATTCTTATATTAATCTGGTAGTTATGATTTTGGACAAATGCCTAAACTCAACTCTGAGGTTAGAAACTTTATCTTTATCAAACATATTTCTTATAAAGTGTTTGCCATTTTTCTATATCAAAAGATGTTCGAAATTTGAAATTATGCTGCTGGGCACTAGCACTAGCGAATCCAGGGTTTAGTTTTGGGGGACTTGAGCCCAAAAGATTTTTTTTTTAAAATAAATAACGATAATTACTTAGAAAGAAAAAGAAGGAAACTAACTACCTATATGAAATAGAGTTTAAATGATTCTTAAGTACTATTAAAAGTAATTACACAAACAATAATACTTTTAGAGGTAATTATTAAATATTTTTTTCATAAGACATTGTTATATTTTACCATTTCAGGATGGGGGGGGGGAGGGAGAGAATGGCTTCAGCCCGAAAGTTTTTTCTGTAAAAGTTAACTTTCAAACATGCTCCATTTAGCTATGCGTGCAGTGTCTACTTGAAACTATATAACAAAATCTGAATAACTGAAATTGCAAGATCTTGAACCACAAAACTTGTTTTAAGACAGGATTAGAAAAAAAATCATACACCTACAAAATCAAGCATTTTACCAGTTATTTTAGTAAATAAAAAACAAATTAATACTTGTCTCAGTTTGCAAGTAATTAGCCATTTTAAGCTTGTTTTTATTTGACTCAATTGTATTCATACCACAAGATTGTGATTGCAGAGTATTAACAGACCCAGGATTTAATTCTGGGGACTTCAGCATGGAAGATTTTTTTTTGTATGTATATATTAGGATAATTACTTCAAAAGAAAGAAAGAAACTAACTACCTATATGAAATTGTGTTTAAGTGATTCTTTAAGTCTTATTAAATGTAATTAGATGAACAATAATACTTTTAGAAATAATTTTTTCATAAAACATGGTTATATTTTACCATTTGGGGGGCTTTAGCCCGAAAACCCACCCCAAAGATCTGCCTGTGTTGCAGAGTAATTCTTTACAAAAATAAATTAATTCAATATACTTTAACTATTATTAATTAAATGAGTTAAACAAAAATCACACCACACCTTATGTTTTTCAGCGGATTTTTCTTCTTCTATTTGTTTTCCTTCTGTTTCTTCTAAAAATTTTCACATAGAAATAATAATGCATTAAATAATTTTTAATTATAGCTTGTAGTTTCTAATGATTAAATTTAATATTGAATTAACTGACACTGATATTAAAACAAAAAACTATCATAAGTAATTAATACCTTCTGATGGGGTAGTATCCGCAATACTAGATGTATCTGACCTGTCATCATAATCAGCCAGTTCTCCTTTAAATGCTGTCATAAACTTGATGTGATCAATATCAATTGACCTAAATAAATTCATAATTGTGTATTGATGGTTGACTGTAGTGCACAATTGAAGAGAAGAATGGTTGGGATGATCAGTCAAAAAAATAGTTAAAATAAATAATCATATTACTTTAATTATAATTAATATATTTATATTAATATTTATTTTAACTATTTTTTTATACTGATCGCCCCAACCATTCTTCTCTTCAACCTAAATATATTTTTTAAAAAATTCATTTTATACATTTGTTTTAAAATTATAATTTATGAGAACAATTTAACTAATAAATATCATTAATCCAACTATACATAAATTTTTGAAAGCACAGAAAACCTCTTCACCTTCTAGGTTGAAACAATAACTCTTCTCCCTTAGAATGAGACTTCTTTTCTGCACGAGTAACTGCCTTGACTTCAGATGGTGACATTTGGAATTCTTTCCAAAGCCAATCATGTCTCCAAGATTCATGTGAAGGAACATTGCCTAAAATGTTACAATTATGCTTAAAAATTTCTTAAGAAAATGCTTGATTTTTTAAGAGAACAAAGTAAAATAAACATAATACATAATTTGCAGAATAGATATATAAATTCATTGCATTTATAAATATAACAAACTCATGAATGAAATATGAGGAAATCAAACTAATAAAAAAAGTTATCAAACTTTCTACTAACCTACACCATGACCTTACTCAATGGAGAGGAATGGAGCTCTGAGTAACCACTATACTGATAATAGCCCTCCCCTCTGGCCCTTGTTTCTGGAGGTTTTAAGATTATTATTTAAATTTCTACATGAAATCAATACTTTAAGGTATAATAGACTATTAATTTATTAATATTAATAAATTTAAAAAGTGAGAGAAAGGTTCATTTGCTATTTTGTTTATTTTAAAGAAAAGAAAATATAATTTTAGAAGTTAATGTATGTTTTTTTTCAGAAATGCAAAATACCACATTTTTTTTTTCTTTTTGTAAATAGTTGAAATAAATATAAAACATAATGTGAAATAATACAACTATTTTTTAAAAATAAAAAACATTTAATCCAAAATTAAAGAAATATTTTCTTTCTACGAATATTTGTAAATTTGACATTTTTATGTCCTAAATAGTATAGTCCTAAGTAATCCTAAATATGCAATATAAAATTATTGGAATGAAAAAAATTATTTTTTATTTAAAGAAATTTTAACTGCTAATTCTGACAATTATTTTCATCCTTATATTATTATAATATTGTTATATCATTAAAGGAAATAATCGTGATTTCTACAAACAAAATTAAACAAAAATTGTACTACAATGTTGTTTTGTTTCTGTAAATAAATATAGATCTTCGTTTTTTCGGTTTATGTAACATATTTGTAGATTGTTTACAGTATGTGATTTTGGATAAATACCATAGGTTCAATGAAGTTATAAGAATATATGATATCCCATTGGATGGAGTCAAAGTCAGGTGGAAGGGATGCATAGGAGAGGAGGTTTGATTTGCGGTATGAAACCATTTTTTTAGTAAAGGATTTCAAGGGTAAGACGTATGTAATTTTGATTATGTCATTAAGTAATTAAACGATTTAATTTACTTCTAAGTCTTTCATCACTAAAGGAGTGTCCACAATTTTATAAAATGTAATAAATATAAAATACCTCAATTTTCAATATATAAATTTAATACTTACATATTGTTGCCTTTCTCACCATCCAACCTCTAAAAGCTGCCTAAAAGAATAATGTATTTAATTATACATTTTTTTACAGGGATAAATTTGCTATGATTCAAAATTATTTAAACAAAAACAATTATACTTAATATATAATAAGTACCTTTCTACATGAGTTGAATTTAATATTCTTCTAGTATCTTTAACCAAAAATATACTTTAAGTATAACGTTAAATACATATGAAGTTACAATGGTTATAAACAAGTTAATATTATATTCACTGCTCTTAAACGAGACAAAATTTATTATCTCTTAATAAAATAATAAAAAAAGTTATTATATTCACAAATTCGCAGTTCTTGTTATAAATCTTTTCTCCTATAAGATAGTTAATGAATTACAATAATTATAACATTAAAATAATTATGACTTAATATTTAAGACAAAATTTATTACCTGAATCTTAGTACAAATGGCATTTGCTTGGGCTGGTGTTAGATTATATTTTTTCAGTATTTTGGATGTCATATAAGATACATCATGAAGACTGGTTTTAAAAGAATCTACAAAAAGACACATTATTATGCTGTAAATATGTCTTCAATTGCTAATTATAATTATTGATTGATTTACATATACTGGACAAAAAAGTCTGCAAACACCCATCATCCATTTTATTATATAAATTTTAGCGCCATAAGGCTATCTTTTTTTTTTTTTTAACCATTATGTTTAATAATATAAACATTTAATATTCATTCTATACAAAATGAGGAGTTGGCCGGGAGGGGGGGGGGGTGAAGGGGAGGGGTGTGGTCATATACTTATATTATAAGAATAGTATTTTATTAGGCATATTGAATAAAATACTATTCTTATAATATAGTATTTATATGACCGCACCTCCCGACCAACTCCTTTTCATATTATAATCACAGTCGATCAGCTCTACACCATTCTATATAAATTACATCAAAAATTTTCTGGTCATTAATTTTACGTAAAACTAATTAGCTGCCTTTATTCTTTCACAAGAAAAAAAATTCTGTTAGCACTATAATTAACTGTTTACCATATAATATAGACATTTAAAAATTATGTCTATATAAATCTATTGCAAATATATTGAACTTTTCGAGCAAAACTTCGCCCCCTCTTCATCAATATATTGTTATCCCAATAAATTGGGTGTCACAAAATTTAATACAATAATATTGGTTGAGTACCACTGAACCAATCTTATTGTATAGAATTTTGTGACAACCAATTTATTGGTAGAATAATATATGGATAAATAGGGGGACAAATGTTTCCTCGAATACATTAAATCAAAGACTAATTTTGATTAACTTATTCTCACTAATAGGCAAATGAATTACTATATATTTATTGTAACGATTTTTATTAAACAAGTAATCCTGTTCTAAATTGTATTAAATGAAATGAATTTTAATTATCAAGAATGCACATTCAAAAAATAAGTTAATAGTTGGAAGTATTGGAGGGAAGGCCGTTGGCCAGAAAGTATGCATTGGTCTGTCAGATCCGGAAAGATATCAAGGTAACATCTCTACAATGTAGAGTCAACAGTCATTAAAAAGTATATACCAGATGAAGACCACCTTCAGTTGAAGGAGCAGCCCACATTGGGCCCTAAAGACAGTTCAATTAAACAGTATCTTATAGATTATTTTATAATACTCTACAGTCCGAGATGGACCTTGGCACGATCTTTTTCCAATCCTCTCTATCCTTCATTCTTCCCCTCCAATTTACAACTCCCATCCTATTCAAATCCCCTTTCACATCACCTTTCCAACATTTCATCGGTCATCCTCTTTTCTTTTTTCCGGAAAATTCCTCCCTAAGTATCTTCTTTGTTTCTTTGTCACCTGGCAGTCTTTCCACGTGTCCTAGCCAGATAATTCTTCTAGCTTTAATAAAGCGTACAATATCCTCGTGCTACAATAGTTCACTCCACTCCTGATTTGTCCTTATTCTCCATTCTCCTTGTATGCATAGGAAACCAAAAATTGGTCTAATAATTTTTCTTTCGAAAATCTTTTGTGCCTTCCTGTCAGCTACTTTATGTTTTGTAACTCTGAATAGGGGTGTCGATTTACAAAGCTTTAGTATACCAAAGTACACTCTATTGCCTACTATGATTATTCCTCTTATTTACAGGCTAATCAAGTTTTCGCTATTGAACTCAAGATACGTGAAACTCTCCACCGCTTCAAAAATGTATTCCTGGAAAACAAAATCTTCTGGCTTCCTTCTTGAATCTGAGGTTCGGACTACCATATACTTTATTTTTGTATCATTAACTATCAATCCAACCTCAATTATTGCCGCTTTGCTTCTACCTAGAATTGCAGTGCCCTCAGCATATCCCAGTATTTGTCTTGTTCGGCATGCTAAATTATCACCTAGCAGGATCCCTTTAACTGCATCATGTAGCACCAAGTTAAATAGAATTGCTGAGTGTGCAGCTCCCTGCTTTACTCCAGTATTAAATTGGAAAATTTCGCTAACCTGCTTGCCAATTAGTACTTCAGCTTGTGTGTTCAACATAGTCATTTCAATTAGGTGGATTAGTTTATACGGAATGACATATTAACGCAATGCAATAAAAAGTTGGGTTCTTTTAATTTGTCAAAGGCTTGTTTAAAAGCTATAAACAGCATGTGTGCATCATATTGTGCTCATAACACTTTTCGAGCACATGGCTGTTAGACCGAAAACGACACTGGTAATAAGTTATGATTCTTTCTGAATTCATTTATAGTCTTTGCACCAGAAGGATGAAGTAAAATTTTTTATACAACATTTAAAAGGGTTATTCCCCAGTAGTTTTCACATACCATTTTATCACCTTTTTTGAATATTGGGAAAATTAAACCTGAACACCATTCCTTAGGTATTTCCTCATTAAGCCATCCCCTCAGCATCAGATTATATAATTTCTGTCAGAAAAAATCTCCACTACACTTAATAGTTTCTGCCGATATAGTGCCCTCTCCAGGAGCTCTGTTATTCCTTAATCCTTCTAAAGCGTCCTCCAAGGAAGGGGATTCAATATCAGGATCAACTTTCGGATCCGGCTCCCAGGCATCATTGATGTTCTTATCATGCCTGGCGTTTAATGTTCTGAAAATAAAATCCTAACAGTTTAGGAGTGAAAGTCTTTCAAGAAGATAAAGATTTGTAATATACCAACTTAGGAATAGTTAACTGAGATATAGATTTTATGTAATACATCCCAGCTACTGAAAACCCTTTTCTAATTTCCCTATTCTATAAAACTGCTCAGTAAAAAAATGACATATTAGGAACAGAGAACACTTGAATAAAAGGTGGTTGTGGAACAATAGAGAAACAATTCCAAAGAAATTACAGAAAAGTTGGTAAGATCCATGAAACCTTTTTTGTTTGGAGTCATTAGACATAAAAGAGAACCAAAAAATCTATATTATGTAGTAAAAGGTTAATTAAAGTGTTTAGAATTTTTTCGCTTTGTACAAGAACAAAGGCAACAAAATAATTTAATGAACAATTAATGACCAGAAAAATATTGAAGTATTTTATATAAAATGAAAACTGAATATTTCAATTATAAATTAATTTTATTTACCGGTTCACTGAAAAGAAAAAAGTTTTGTGATGATAAAATTAATACAATAAAATGCAGGGTAGGTCTTCGCAGAATCAAAACCAGTATAGTTTGAGGAGAAATATATTACCTTTTTTGTCAACAATATCTTTAAATTGTTTCCTTGCCATATGTCCTCTCACTAGAGCCTATCAAGAAAAGACCTATGTAAAACTGGATAAAATTACTTTTAATAATATCTCATAACAGTGTAGCACATAAATATTTCATGAAAGTATATTAGGATACACAGGGTGTCCCGTAAGTGAAGGGAAATATTTAAAAGGTTAATAGTAGACATTAAGATCTACAAAACAATTCATATAAACAATGGTCCCCATTCCAGCAGAAAAAAAGAATTTTAAGATTTGTGTTTTTTATAAGATTATTGTCAATTTATACTATTATATAATGATAAAAATTCTCATTGCTAAGTTGTAACCAATCTCAACTGAAGTGATTAAAGAAGAATTAACGACGCTTGGTATCAATGTACGTTAGGTAACCAACATTTTAAAGGAAAACAAGGAGTAGCCAGATTTATGAATAAAATCCCACTACCATTGTTTTTCGTAGACTTGGAGTCATCACCAGGTATCTAAAAAATACATGATATCACAAGAATATACTGATAAATGGTGGAAGTAGAGAAACCATACCCCGAGAGTTGCATGAAATGCGGTGAACAGTACAAATCTATGGTGAATTAATAACAACAACAAATTCATCATATTCCTCCTCCTTCAAAAGTAACAGATCTCACCAGTTTGTTAGCATCTTTCAAATTTCAAATCTTTTAACATTTTACTCCACTCATATCACTCCTCACAAAGCTCATTTCTCACCTTATCCCTCCTTTAAAAAATCTTTAAATGACTCATATCTATTCTCTTTTGGAATGTGAATGGTGTTAGAAACCATACAGACAAACTATCTGCTTTACTACTTGACAAGAACATTGATGTGGCACTAATTACTGAAACTCGACTAACCACTCAAAATATCACAATACTTGGCGTATCATACTGACCATACTGAAGGTAGAGTACATGGCAGCACTGCTGTCATTGTACACCAATCCCTGTCCGATCACCTACTCCCATTACCTACCCAAGATTTTCTATAATCCACTACCATTGTAATCAAAACCTACTCCTTTCCCGTCACCCTAGTATCAGCATGTTGCCATCCTAACAGATCCATATCCAATGACCAGTTCAGTTCACTCCTTAACTCCTTAGAACATTAAACGCGAAGCATCAAGAATGTGGTTCAAGAACCATGGCTTCTCATGATAGATAATTGCTGTATTCCCTCAATTCCCAAAGTTTTAGCCTCCTTTCTCCCAACTCACCTACATACAGGCCAACTGATCCTAACCCAATCCTGAGATCCTCAATATTTATATCCACAGTAGTTTAAGTCCCCTTAATCATTCCCTTACCCATGTTGATGAACTTTCCTCAGATCATAGTCCATTAATACTCCAATTATCTCAAACTCCTATTCCTAAACCCTCTCCACCGTCCTTCATCAGAGGCCCAGTTAACTGGAAAATCTTCCATTAGATCCTTTCCGTTTGGCCTCAGATTAATCTTGAAAACTCCAGAAGACCTTCACAATGCCGTCCATTCCTTCACCAGCACTATTCAACAAGCAGTATGGACAGCTTCCTCTCCAAATCATTCCTCAAGAACCCCTAAAAAAAATAGTTTACCCAAACACCTCATAGACCTAATCCACTCCAAACGCCGTGCCAGAATATTATGGCAACGTACCAAACATCCCATCGATTGCCGCTCCTACAATTATTATTGTAAACTATTAAAGCAATAATTATCATCCATCAGATCCCAATTTTCGGATTTCTACCTCACTCTCTGTCCATGACGATTCCCTCTGGAAAACCACTAAAAAATCCTATAATCCCATTACATTTCCCACCCCTTCCATTAATAAGATGGCTCCTGGGCAGCGTCTGATGAAGACACAGCTGGGGAATTCACCAGACACCTCTCCAATACATTGACTCCTCATCCAGAATCCCATCCTATCCATTCCGCAAAAGTAGAAGAATTCCTCTCTTCACCGATTTCACTCTGCTTACCACTTAAAGCAGATAATCCATCTGAGATTGAATACCTTTTGCGTAATATTATTCCTTGTAAACCTCCTGGATACGACCTCCTAATCACACAGATCCTTCGGCAACTTCCGCTTAAAGCTATCATATTCTTTATATATTTTTATAATTACATCTTAAGAACTATCCACATTCCTCTCCTATGGAAACATTCCACCATCGTCATTTTCCTGAAACTAGGCAAACATGCCAACAATACATCATCCTATAGACGAATTATGCTACTCCCAATCCTATCAAAATTTTTTGAAAAGATCCTAATGAAAAGAATTATACCCATAATAGAATTCCATAAAATTCCTACCCATCAGTTCGGATTTCGTTTCCAACATTCCGCTGTCCAACAAGGACTCCGAGTTGTTGACCATATATCATCAGACCTAGAAAAGAAGCAATATTGTTCAGGTGCATTTCCGGACTTAGTACAGCCTTTGACCGGGTATGGCATGCTGGATTGCTCTTCATGCTTAAATTCCATCTACCGTAGTCCTTATATCTAATAATCCGATCCAACCTCTCTGACCGATCCTTTCAAGTTCGCTGTGGTACTGAATTCTCCGACTGTCATTTAATTGAAGCGGGTGTTCTGGAGGGGGTCTTGGGTCCCATCCTTTACATTCTTTTCACTGCAGATATTCCTGACCATCCCGATACCCTCCTGGCAACATTCGCTGATGATACCGCTATCCTTCCAACCAACTCAGATCCTAAAAGAGCATCATCAAACCTAAAAACACACCACTCCCTGAGTAAACACTGGTGTAAGAAATGGCACTTTAAGATAAATGAGTCCAAATGTAAAAACACATTACCTTCACACTTTGTCATAAATCCTATCCACCAGTTTATTTTAACTCAATACTTTCTCTGATACAGTCCGGTATCTTGGCTTTCTCTTAGACAGATGATTAACGTGGAACCCTCATAAAAGACTTCAAAGACAGGAACTTGACCGACGATACGACCAACTATACAGACTACTAAACAGAAAATCTAAAATTTGTATTAGAAACAAGTTCCTGATTTACAAGGCAATACTGAAACCTATTTGGACTTAGGGACTAGAAATGTGGGGAACAGCAACATTTTCTAACATCAAACGCATCCAATCCTTCAGTCAAAAGTCCTTCAAACAATAGTTGATGCTCCTTTCTATGTTACCAACAAAACCCTATATCATGACCTCAACATCCCATTTTTCCTAGACCTTATCCCAGAAAAATTCTCCAAATTTCACCAGAACCTTATGTATCATCCAAATCCTGTTGCACAATTCCTATCAAGCACCACTCATTCCTATACTCCTCCAAGAAGATTGAAACAGCAGTGGCATCGGAACCTCTTGTAGATTGTATATATTGGAGTACTGGCAATGGCCAGATTTTTCACTCAAGATATGAGTATTGTGGCTTAAGTGCTCTTGATCAATCTCCGCTGGCTTTAGTACCAGTGATGCGGTTGAGAAAGTTCTCCTGCACAGTTCTCCTGGAGTCCAGCTTTTCCTTCCACAGTTGAAGAGATAAGTCTGCCTCGGAGTTCCATCGCCTGATTGTAAATAGTGTATATAGGTATGCATGTGTTTTTTGCTTTGTTTAAATTTTCTTATTTTTAAGTTAGTTTATTTTATTTATTGTATATAATTTTTTATTATTATTTTGCTTCTATATCTATGTTTTTGTGTGAATGTTATTTCACTATACCTCACTATAACTAATATCCAAGTGACAGACTGTAGTAATAATCAATAAATAGAAAAAAAAAATTGTAACTATAATAAGGGAGAAATAATTCGAGGAACAAGAACAAGAACAAGAAGTCTTTGTTACGAACCATCCCACTTTTTATAAGTGAAATAAAATATAACACACCTAGACTCACTAAAAACTTTTTTATGAAATATAGAGATTTAAAAAACATTTGTAAATCTATGGTAAAATAGGATGACTGCAGAATTACCTGCAACTTGGATGCTGCAACATCTGCCTGATCTGGTGTTAATCCCAAATCAAGGAGCAATTTGGTTTTTTTTGCTCCAGCACTTATAGTCTTGTCTACTTCTGGTGCTACGCCTGATGAAAATATATGTTAATAATTTAAATTTTCTGAATTTGAAATACAATGAAACAAATAATATAATATATGTATATATATAGTTTTATTCCTTGCAGTCATAACAAAACATTTTATAGTGTACATAGATTAGAAAAATTCATTTTACCTTTAGCAAATCTTTTTATCCTCATCAAGGAGTCAAGGTATTTAAATATGAAATGTTCTATTTGCATTGGTTTGTGTCTCAGAACCTATATTAATAAACAACAAATTAATATGCTTGCATATGCTAAGTATTAAATAAAACATTCCTAAATACATCCTAAGTGTGATGATCTTCATGGGTTGTGGAAGTGCAGATACATTTGTGGCACATATAGTTACCTCTTGCTGCTACCCAAAGTACTAATAGCATTAAGCCAAATTGTGTAACCAAACACACCAATCTTTTTCTTTACATTTTTGTTATGAAGTTAGTACATCATGAACTGGATTTCTGAGATGCAAAAACTTTGTATAATTTCAAAAGTTATAGCGAAATTCTTCGTCAGAATTCTTCCTGCTGATAGATAGGAATCATTTTTAATAGTGCATAGAATATGTCTATAGAATTCTTAAGAGTGCTACCAGTGGGCAGTTTCTCAACAAGTGATTTCATGCTATCAAATTTACTAAATGTATTTTATTTATTAATACAGTTATAATGTGAAGATTTGGGTCTCCTGAGTTCAATACTATTTGTGAATCATCTTGTATTTCCTCACTAATCATTTTGCTTCTTCACTACCGAAGGTAGGGAAGTATTGTATTCGTGCGAGAGATTAAAAAAAAAATTTGTTTTTGCGTTTTACGTTTCAGACATCAAGGATCAAATTTGGTTCAGTGTATGTCTGTCTGTGGTCAAATCGATGTATCGGGCATATAACCTACTTTATCCGTTTATCCAATTTTCATGATATTTTGAAGGATTGTGCAGGTTAGTGTCTAGATAGTCCCATATCAATTTTATTACATTCTAACAAGGACTTTCGCTTACGCACGCGCAAACGCATTTTTGTAGATATGCCAATATTTCAGAAACGGCTCGTTCGATTTGGCTCAAAGTTGGATAAATGGTAGGTATTTGTGAAACAATAATGTAGAATCAATTTGATTGAATTCTGTTCATTGATTTCTCTTATATGTGCGCAAACGTGTTTTCCTTAATACGTCCATGTCTCTAAAACCACAAGCTCGATTTGGCTGATCGTATCATCAATCATCATTCGAGCGGGAGTTAGGTTATTACAATATTGTTATGGAGTTATACAATTTTAGGTTTTATTCAAAAAGTTAATTTATATGGTATTGTTTGGTCGATTACAAACGTTACTGAAATGACACTTATTGCCGTTACACAGATTTCGTGTACTTTCCAGTAAATTTAATGTAATTTTTACTCTGAATTAGTAAAAAAAAAAGTCTTATTTGTGATTGTGTTACCAAAATTGTGTCTTCTCTCAAATTTTTATATTCCTGGTTAATTAGTTTTGTTCTGACTGAAGAAAAGTATTGATTTCGTTAACTAAGGACAAACAAAAGTTGAATATTTCTTTTTTTAAAGTATATATTCTAGATTAAGTCTAGATTAAGTATATATCACTACTGTTAGTGCAAAGGTCGTATGTAAAAGTTTTCAATTTTTAATCCATTTTTTACATTATGTAGTCTGCAATTGGTATAAGTAGTCTACCATTATAAAATATCTGGTGCGCGCAACACACAACTTTCACTTACCGCTCAACTTTGAATAGAAATTATTTTCTGACCATGTCGGGCTATTACAAAATTATTGAATTACATTTTTAACTGAGCTAAAGCTAAAAGATTACAGCTAACAAATCATAAATACTAATAAAATAACAAAAGTCCTACTATTATATTACCGGTTGATTATGGATTGTACGATTCCTTGTTTATGGATTGTACGAATATTACTTATTAAACTGTTATTTTCCATTACTAAGTTTATTAAAGCGGAATTAAGAAATTTGCATTGTCTCTCATAGACAGGATGAAAGCTGTAACACTAATTGTAAGTGGATTATGTTGCAACATCACAAAGGGAAAATTTATCAAATTTTTCACTAATTAAATTTCCTAAAAGGTTATATAATGATTTTTTGAAATAAACAGACGATATATACCTAATTATTTGAAAATAATGTCAGATCTATTGCTACTAAACTACAGTAAATTCACTGACAGGCAAAAAATTCCAGCCACTTGTAAAAAAAGTTGTACTTGTATATAATACATGGTATTTGTAGATAATACTTAGTATTTATGGAATTTTATAATCTTTTATACCTTTAATAATCAAAATGTGATTGGGTAAAAAAGATTAAAAAATGAACCTTCAATTTTTCAAAAATTGAAAAATGAACCATTATTATTATAAAATAAATTAATTACATCATCGTTTAGTAGCGAGTGTTTCCTCCTCTTGCCTTCCCTACTTCTTGAAGACGCCTCGGCATACTTTCCACCATTCGGGAAATGTTCCTTTTCTGGAGGATAGCCCATTCCTCCCGAAGAGCCCTTTCAAGGTCCTGCAGTGTATCAGGAAGTGTTGCACGCGCTCTTATTCGTCTTCCGAGGTTATCCCATAAATGCTCAATGGGGTTCAAATCTGGAGAACGTGCTGGTCAGGCTAAAACCTCAATATTGTTCTGTTGAAGGAACGTCTGCACTATGCGGCGACATGTGGCGTGCATTATCGTGCATTAGAATAGAACGATCACTGATTTCGTTGAGGATAGGCAACACAAAGGTTCCAATGATGAGGTTCCAAAATCTCATCTACATAGCGAATGGCCGTCAAAGACCCTCCACGAACAACAACCAATTCTTCCAACCACACCATTAAGGGACCACGTTGGAAAGGTTGGCTCTGGGAAAAATTACAGGATGCATATCTTTCGTTTCTTCTTCTCCACACCCTTTCACGCCCGTCTGGAGATCGAAAAGCGAATCTTGAACCATCTGTAAAACGTACGGCACTCCATTCGTCCATAGTCCAATGGCTGTGTTCTCGAATAAAAGCCAGCCGTGTTACTCTGTGAGTTCTGGTCAACTCTGGTCCTCTTACTGGACGAAAAGCCATTTATCCATACTCATTTAATCTTCTCCGAGCGGTACGTTTAGAAATTTGCACACCTCGAACTTCTTCGAGCTGATGAATCGCTTGAACAACGGTAAGGTGCCTGTTTCGTAAAATTCTCAAAGTCAAAAACCGGTCATCTCGTGGCTCTGTTACCCTAGGCCGTCCAGAACCGGGCCTTATATTATAAGAACCAGTTTCCCGAAAACGCCTGACGGCGTCTTGTAAAATTTCATATGGAACTCCCATGGCATTAGCTACATATCTAATGGAACGTCCATCACCAATAAGTGCCACATCACGCGCAACATCCTCAGCACTAAGAGGCATTTTTAAACTTAATATTGAAAAAATTAAAAGCTGGAGACTAAGAAATGTGCTGCGAGAAACGGCACTGAACTAATGATACTGAATAAACATTTTGATTCCATAGAAAGTAAACATTGGAATCTAGAATCATTTCATTGAATTAAGGATTAAGGGTTATTGTCCTCTATATTAACATTCCTAATTGAAAACAAACAAAAAGATTACCTATTTATTCATTAAAAACAATAGACCAATCCAAAGCAGAAATATTTTTAGATGAAAACATGAAAAAATCAAGTGGGTGGAATTTTTTGCCTCTCAGTGTATATTTAAGGTTATAAACGTATCCATGAAATATTTTTATATTTCACATCTTCTTTCACACAAGCGCAATGAAATAGTATCTTAAACAATGTCATAGCTTCGAATCCGTGGATTTTAAATACTTTTTCAAACTTTATAAGTTTACATTTAGCAAGAAAATTTCTGTTAATTTCCTTTAAAACATGTTATTATACATATTTTTTTTCGCCACTCTTCGTTACCTCCTACAACTTTCTATATTACATATTGTTTTTTCTAAATTTCTCCGCATTCCAACTATATATTGTACGTATACCTTCTGACCAGTATTTCCGGAGATTCATTTTTGACCTGCATAAGTATTTTTATTCTTTTCTCCTTTATTTAATTATCAAATTCTTCCAAAAGTTATATTTAGCATTTTTCGATAACTCCCAACAATGATAAATAGTCATTATATATAATAAACCAAATTAAAGGTACTTTGAAGAAAGACATGTTAATGATGGGATTTCACGAAGAGAAAATCATCAAATTATTCACTAATTTAATTTTCTAGAAAGTTACATGTCAGTTTTCGAAATAAACGTTGATAATTAATTATTTAAATATATCAGATCTATAATCACTAAACTACAGTAAATATATTTAAAATTATGAACATATGCTTTATACATCAATGAAATGATTTTATATTTTACTTCTTCTTTCCCACAAGTACAATGAAATATTTTTTTAACAATGCCTTTCCCTTGATCAGGTTGATTTTAAATACTTTCTACAAACGTAAAAATATTTTTTAAAGTTTACATTTAGTTAGTAAATTTCATTTAATTTCCTTGAAAACATGTGATTTACGTTACACATTATCAGTTTTCAAACATTGTTTCGCCGCTCTCCATTACCTTCTACAACTTTCTATATTAGATATTGTTTTTTTTCTAAAATTCTCCGCTTTCCAACGATATATTATAAGTATACCTTCTGCCTTGTATTTCCGGAGATTCATTTTCAACCTTTATAAGCATTTTTATTTTTTTCTCCTTTATTCAATTATCTAATTCTTTCAAGAGTTATATTTAGCATTTTTTTTCGTAACTTTTAATAATGAGAGATAGTTGATAATTTAAAAATAAACCATACTAAAGGTACTTTTTTTTTTCTAACTCCTCAAAATGTTTACTTAATCAAATTACATATATAGTATTAAATTACATACCAATACAATATATACAAGTAACAAATTTCTTCCACTGCGTGAGGGCATTTTAGGGATTGATGATAGCTAAGGGTAACATATGTGGCTGAAGGCCTTGTGACTTTCATTGAACGGGGAGGGACCGTTCTGCTAATTATTTATTATTTACAATATATACACATTAATGGGTTTGGACCGTAGAGTCCAGACCTCATCCTTCGGCGAGTATGTCCATCAAAGGGAGTTTACCTTGCCACCTCCCAGGTCTGGGTGGTGATGAGATCTCATTGAACAGTGGG